GCGAGCGGGACAGCGCGGAGAGCAGGAGAGCGGGAGAGCTGGAGAGCGAGAGAGTGTAAGAGCAGAGGAGAGCGGGAGAGCGGGAGAGCGGGAGAGCGGGGAGAGCGGCGGGAGAGCGGGCGAGCGGGGAGAGCGGCCACGGAGAGCGACCGGAAGCGGAAGTGCGGGGAGAGCGGGAGAGCGGGAGAGCGGGAGAGCGGGAGAGCGGGAGAGCGGGCGAGCGGGGAGAGCGGGGAGAGAGCGGGGACGAGAGCGGGCGAGCGGGGAGGAGAGCGGGCAGAGAGAGCGGGGAGAGCGGGAGGAGCGGGAGAGCGGGGAGAGCGGGAGAGCGGGAGAGCGGGCGAGCGGGACGAGCGGGAGAGCGGGGAGAGCGGGAGAGCGGGGCGAAGCGGGGACAGAGGGAGAGCGGGAAGAGAGCGGGAGAGCGGGGGCGAGCGGGGACAGAGGGGAGAGCGGGAGAGCGGCCGAGGCGGAGAGAGGCGGGAAGCGGGGAGAGCGGGAGAGCGGGAGAGCGGGGGAGAGCTGGGAGAGCGGAAGCGAACGGGAGAGCCGGGGGAGAGCGGGGAGAGGCGGGAGAGCGGGCGAGCTGGGACAGCGGGGGAGAGCGGGAGAGCGGCCGAGCGGGAGAGCGGGAGAGCGGGAGAGCGGGCCGAAGCGGGAGAGCGGGAGAGCGGGCGAGCGGGACAGCGGGAGAGCAGGAGAGCGGGAGAGCTGAGAGAGCGAGGAGAGCGTAAGAGGCAGGAGAGCGGGAGAGCGGGAGGAGAGCGGGAGAGCGGGAAGAGCGGGAGAGCGGGAGCGGAGCGGGAGAGGAGAGCGGGAGAGGCGGGGCGAGCGGGACAGCGGGAGGGGCGGGAGAGCAGCCGAGCGGGAGAGCGGGAGAGCGGGAGAGCGGGAGAGCGGGCGAGCGGGAGAGCGGGAGAGCGGGAGAGCGGGAGAGCGGGCAAGCGGGACAGCGGGAGATAGGGAGAGCGGCCGAGCGGGAGAGCGGCCGAGCGGAACAGCGGGAGAGCGGCCGAGCGAGAGAGCGGGAGAGCGGGAGAGAGGGCGAGCGGGAGAGCGGGAGAGCGGGCGAGCGGGAGAGCGGGAGAGCGGGCAAGCGGGACAGCGGGAGATAGGGAGAGCGGCCGAGCGGGAGAGCGGCCGAGCGGGACAGCGGGAGAGCGCCCGAGCGAGAGAGCGGGAGAGCGGGAGAGAGGGCGAGCGGGAGAGCGGGAGAGCGGGCGAGCGGGAGAGCGGGAGAGCGGGCGAGCTGGACAGCGGGAGAGCGGGAGAGCGGCCGAGCGGGAGAGCGGGAGAGCGGGCGAGCGGGACAGCGGGAGAGCAGGAGAGCGGGAGAGCTGGAGAGCGAGAGAGTGTAAGAGCAGGAGAGCGGGAGAGCGGGAGAGCGGGAGAGCGGGAGAGCGGGAGAGCGGGCGAGCGGGAGAGCGGGAGAGCGACCGAGCGGAAGTGCGGGAGAGCGGGAGAGCGGGAGAGCGGGAGAGCGGGCGAGCGGGAGAGCGGGAGAGCGGGAGAGCGGGAGAGCGGGCGAGCGGGAGAGCGGGAGAGCGGGAGAGCGGGAGAGCGGGAGAGCGGGAGAGCGGGAGAGCGGGCGAGCGGGAGAGCGGGAGAGCGGGAGAGCGGGCGAGCGGGACAGAGGGAGAGCGGGAGAGCGGGAGAGCGGGCGAGCGGGACAGAGGGAGAGCGGGAGAGCGGCCGAGCGGGAGAGCGGGAGAGCGGGAGAGCGGGAGAGCGGGAGAGCGGGAGAGCGGGAGAGCTGGAGAGCGGGCGAACGGGAGAGCGGGGAGAGCGGGAGAGCGGGAGAGCGGGCGAGCTGGACAGCGGGAGAGCGGGAGAGCGGGAGAGCGGCCGAGCGGGAGAGCGGGAGAGCGGGCGAGCGGGACAGCGGGAGAGCAGGAGAGCGGGAGAGCTGGAGAGCGAGAGAGCGTAAGAGCAGGAGAGCGGGAGAGCGGGAGAGCGGGAGAGCGGGAGAGCGACCGAGCGGAAGAGCGGGAGAGCGGGAGAGCGGGCGAGCGGGAGAGCGGGAGAGCGGGAGAGCGGGAGAGCTGGAGAGCGGGCGAACGGGAGGGCGGGGAGAGCGGGAGAGCGGGAGAGCGGGAGAGCGTGAGAGCAGGAGAGCGGGAGAGCGGGAGAGCGGGAGAGCGGGCGAGCGGGCGAGCGGGAGAGCGGGCGAGCGGGCGAGCGGGAGAGCGGGCGAGCGGGAGAGCGGGCGAGCGGGAGAGCGGGCGAGCGGGAGAGCGGGCGGGCGGGAGAGCGGGAGAGCGGGCGAGCGGGCGAGCTGGGGAGCGGGAGAGCGGGAGAGCGGGCGAGCAGGAGAGCGGGAGAGCGGGAGAGCGGGCGAGCGGGAGAGCGGGAGAGCGGGAGAGCGGGAGAGCGGGAGAGCGGGAGAGAGGGGGAGCGGGAGAGCGGGCGAGTGGCGGCAAAGAGCCTCTTTTCTGAGCAAGCTGCCGCGGGCGCGGCCGTGCGGGGCGACGCACCGTCGGGGGGAGGGTCGGCGAGCGGCGGGCACGGCGACGTGAAGTTGTCCCACGGGACTTGCGGCGCCGCGCGGACCCCTGGGATGATGCCGCCGCGCTCAGGCGGGAGCAGGGCGCAGCACGCCGCGGCGAGGAGAAGCGCTGGGAGCGACAGGGACGAGAGCGAATCGCGGCGGCGGCAGCGGGAAGGACGATGGCAGGTGTGATAGTCGCCTGGTGGGAGAGGGGCGGATGCCATTGTAACGGGGCCAAGCTGGGCGCGGCAGTGCTACTGTCGGAAAGTGGATCGGGTGGAAGCTGTTGATGGAGGGGCGCGGCGTTGTTAGATGGCGGGTCGTTGTCAGTAGGTGCTACGCGGCCTGCTTGGTTTAGGAAAACCTTCAGCTGATAGTACTGTACTAACAACTGTGAGCTCCGTGTATACTACTGTACAGGAGACTCAAGGGGGAGTGTGAGTGCACGGGCATGCGGTCCCCGAGAGTGAAAACGTCGCGTCACGAGGCGACATTGGGGGATGCGGAACGGGAAGAGAAGAGGCGAACGCCACCAAACCAAATACTGTACTCGGATCGGACTTGGCTGCAAAGTCTTGTTAGAATTCGCCTCGCCTTCCGCACGCGAGGAAGGCCATACATATTCACGCAAGCGCCCGTGTATGTTGTGGCAGAGAGCGGTTCTCCTAGTCTTGTACACACTGTTCTAGTGCTCCCACGTGTTCACGTACAGCAGTACGAGGGACCGTGGGTGGGTACAGAATGGAGGTCTGACGAGCCTAAGGGGAAAGTGTAGGGACAGCGAGTTATGGTGGGGAGGGGGGGAGGGAACAACTTTCATGAGGCTGCGACAAGGGAAGAGCTGCAAGGGGGAGTTTTGGGGGGTGGGGTTGAGGGGAAGTCTCGATTTTCATGTACAGCACTGTATAGTTCTGGAGTGTAGTGTAGATTTCTCCCCAACCAAGTCGGGCAATGCGAGTTTGGAAAGTACACCTGACGTCCAGTAAACTGTTCATTTATTCAACACCACGTGTTTATTTACAGGCTCGCTAGTCTGAAAGCTCGGGCATTGACCTGATTGAAACAGGTCCTAAGATTTGCAGCAGTTACCACATCTGATACGAAGACCTCCAAACCCGCAGACGGGACGTTCTCAAATCTTACACTGTTGCCCGAGAAACGCAAAACAAACAGCAATGGTCACCCGTATTAGACGGAAAAATGCCCACGAGGTAACCAGCCTACCCAATATTGGCCCAATTCGCCCGTGAAAGTTATGTGCTCGACTCTGGAGCACTTTCCTGGAAAACATTTAAATTAGAAAAGAAAATCATGTGTAGATACGTACGGACCAAACGGAACAAGGTGCTGGCAGGACGCGGTTTCCGTGAATCAACATGGTCTGTCGTCACCCACCTCGTCAGAGTTGAACTGAAAAGCCCAATTATTTTCTAGTACCCACAGGAAGATGAGTGGCGTTTCTGGATTACACTAACGTTCGCTTGCGGAGTACCATTGCGACACTTAGGGCGTGTCCTAAGTGCCAAAATCCTCGTTTCGGCTTTGGTGGAGCTTGGTCTGGCAAAGTATAGTCGGGGCGCTGTGCGACACGGTAGGATCAAGTACGACAACTTTTTCAAAGTCGCTACGCCCTTACAGAACTGCTTGGAAACTACACTACAGCAGTTTTCATCCTCGAGCAGCGGTGTCGGGTGCTGAACAAAGCCCGTCAACGAAAATCAATCGACCTAACCGACAAATTAGCACTGTTCCACCGTTAGAAAAACATACACCTGCCCTCCGCTAATTTATCGTTTCACTGTATCTATTCATTACACTTCTCCTTCGCCAATTTCTCTGGCGGCAAATTCTCAGGTTTTGTCGCTTCTTCTGACCAGCTGCATGGTCCTGCTCAAAAGTTATGGGAAATGTTCAGTTCAGTTCGCCATGTCAGCTACCTGCTAGGCATCATCGCAGAATTGTAGCCGTTGGTGGGAGCTGAGGTTCCTCAAAACTCGAAAGGATGTGATTGCATGAAAAAAAACACGTGGGGCATTGCGATGAGTCAGTCAGGATTCTACCGTTCTCACAACCGTACGATCTCTCTAAGCTATTGACTAAGCTGGATTTTTTGTGGGCACCCCGTCAACAGGACCGCCAGCATGGTTCCTTTTTCGAGAAATTTGCGCCAATGCACTTGGTTAGCGCTAATTTCTCCACCTCCCAGTAACGACAAGCTACAGTTCTAATAAAGACGAGGTATAGTGAATTGAGAAAATGGCGGAGAACGGGTGTATTTGTACTGTAGCTGTTATGAAATATCACTCAGAGTATAGCGCAGAATACTATAGGGAAGTGTGACTACAGAATGTATCTAACAACGAAAGGCCTATGGCGTATATAGTGCAAGTTGACCATGTTGAACCTCAAGAGTTGGACCAGTCAAGGGCTCGGTAGACCCGAGGGTGACAGGGTCAAATTGGGTTCGAGGCGTCTCGATAATACGTTCGGGGCCGAATAGGTCGGCGGTGGTGGTTTGACGCGAGGTTTGAGGGCCGAGGCTGCGGACGCGCACTGTTCGCGGTACTCGTTGTGGCTAAACCCAGTAAGGATACTTGAAATCCTTACATCCTCCCATCTTCTAAAGTGAACCCTCCGTATATCAAAGGCCGGACTGACAATAATAGTAATCCCCGATGTAACTGTAGGTCTTCAGCATAGTGACGAGCGTAATGATTACGCCGTCCTGACGAGGTCTCCAGGTCGAACTCCGATCGATGGCCAGAAAGCACCGAAACGATCGCTTTTACCTCGCCGTTGAAAATGGTCGAGTTCTTTAGCTGACCAACGGGGAAGGGTAAATACTTCAGCGGAAGACTGTGAACAGTGAAACCTATTGAGTAGGCGATTGATGGTGGCATGTGGTAGGATAAACATATGAAAATGATGACTGCTGAATGATGCGGCTGATGAAATGAAGAACCCATTCACCAAACGCGATGTCGTTCATGACACATGCCAGAGCACATGTCTGTGTCTCACGAAAATTAGCGAACTCCATCAACGAACTGACAAACACACCAGAAGGGTCTTCAAATATTTGCAGCGCAGCTGCCCTGCTCCCCCCTTCCAAAAAGAAACACCTCCCAATGGCGAGGGTAAGTCTTCAAGAAAACCAATTCTCCAGGGTTGTCGAGATATCCCCCAAGGCTCCGTAAATTTTCGGAACTCAGCTTCGAAGATGTCGCTGCAAAACTCCAACCGCCAGAACTCCCAAATATTCTCCAGAGTTGAAATTCATCGGTAAGGTAAACCGCTCTAAGGGTCTTGAAACTCATAAGTAATTGCTCCGGAAGACTCCCATACAAACTCAAAAAAGCTTCACAAGTCAAACACTGCTTGCGAACTGGCCCCAATACAGCTCTATCAGTATAGCTGCAAATATTTCCATTTAGGTATTGCTGCTGTCGATTCGGAAGGTGAGGTTGGGTCGCGTTCACACTGTCATGCGAAGTCTGGCAAAATGAGGACTGAGATGGTAGTGGGTGGTGGTGAGAGGATGTCGATGATGGTGATGGAAAGTAACCTACACTAAAACCAGTCCAGTGAAAAACCTCAAACAGAACCCAGGACCAAATGACGCCAACTGCATCTGCTACTTTGTCCGTACACGCCGAACTATTTAGGAAGAGATGAAAACAACTGCTGCTCTCCTTTGCCCTCATGCAACCAAAACATTCTGAAAATCTCGATCAATGTTGCTCGTACCCTGAAGATCGCAGGCACCTCTCCATGTGTAAAGACCAGTCATTTTTCAGCGAAAATATCGGAACTTCACCTATGACTTAGCAAATACCGCAACTCCGCTTTACAGCTGCACGTGCTTGACAGCTATCCGTAAAAAACTGACGCGCTGTCCTTTAGCTGCACCCCCATCGGTCCGTCACCAGCTGTACGCAGGAACTAAACCCGTTTATCCAGGGTACTCATCGTTCCCTACCTGGCCATGGGCCTTTGGTCGTCGATCATGGCTGGCGAGCATCATACGCCGTCGATCTCCTCACAGCTGTAACCCAAAACTCGTAAAATACTCGGGCACCCCTGACCAGGTGGCCGTGCAGACGTTCACCCATTTTGCGGCTGCTGCAGGTTACCAAAAAAAAAATCGCTGCTGCTTCTTAACTAACTTATATAAGCTGCACTGTCAAAGGCGTGGAGGGCACACAACAAAGTCGGCTGGACTAAACAAGTCCCCGCACGACCGCTGGACACCTCCTGCCTCCCGACGTGCCAGGGTGAGACACTCGGAACCTTACACCCGCAAAAGTCAGAAACTCCTTTTGCTGCACCAGGTGAAACCCTCAGCTCCACTGCAACAGTAACTCCTGAATTTCCAGGGACACCCCTCAGCATAGTGTAGAGTGCATATTTCACTCCCCTTTCGCCAAGTGTGGGCGATCCATAATCGACACTACAACTTTGTGGGAATGGTGATATTCGAGCGACGAAGCTCCGTCAGTAGGGGATCTGTTGTTGCCTGGCATTTAACTAAAACCCAGCTTCTTCAATTCGTCTTACTTCAACTGCTTCAGCTCTTGACGGTTTGACACTTGCGGCACCACGGTGGAAAACACGTAATACACACCCTGATGTGGTGGCCTCCATTTCTGTTGATCATGGGAGTATGATCGATGCTCCATGAAAACGCCTCCCCAACGCAGGAAGACGCCCTCGCTGAAAAGATTCCAGAGCAGCTTCATTCTCCATGTGAGACAGCCCATGCAGAACAGCACCGAGGTAGTTAGTCTCATGCTGCTGCTGTCTAGCTCACCCACTCGTGTGACTGTGCAATCATGGCAGTCCGAAATAATCGCAGCCGCCCCTTGCCGAAATAGTTGCGGAAGTCCCGTCCATCGCCCTCAACTAGCCTGCCGGAAACGCCGACACCAGCGACGCAACTGATCTTCACTTTGCAGCTACATGGCACGACAGAAGCACATCCCCATACGTCCCACCATTTTCGCCCATTCGCGCGCTCCTGACGACCATCACCCGGCCACCCGAGGATTCCCGTGCACTTGTTTTCCCTTGACGACTCCTCGCGATTTTTAAAAACCAATCCAAAAACGTCGTTAGAACTTCCCGAAAAAATACAAAACACTAGCCAACATACCTGAAAACTCCGGCAAAAACGTTGCTTTCTCTCGATGGAAAATAACGCCGTCTACGTCCGGGGAAGGGGAGGACCGGCTAATCCCAACCGTCCATCGGATAGGATCCGGCAACATCGGAAGCGCTACGCCACTAGCATCCTTCTGCTATTGGTACTGCTGCTACTGTTGCTGTTGCAACTGGTGCTGCTGCTACTGGTGTTGCTGCTACTATTGCTGCACCTTACACTACATTAGAAATTAATGGTAATAGTAGCCACAGTACACTAGTCGCTCGATGAGGTGCCATGCCATGCCGCCATTCTACTCAGAGTCAGAAGTGCCTACCTCCTCAATATCTTCATCGCTCTCGGACTCTGAGACCTGGATCTTCTTACGCTTGCTTCTCCTCCTCCAAATAGGGCCAGCCGCACCATCCTCTTCAAAGGCCCGGGTTGCTTCTACTGTGGCCAGAGCTTCTTCCTGCCTGGCTGCTTCTGCTGCTGCCTTAGCAGTCTTAGCTGCTCTCAGTGCTGCCGACTTCTTCGGCCGTTTTTCCTGCCGCTCGCTCTCCTCCATCACTACTTCCTTGGTAGGCTGCCTCTTCTTCGCACCGCGCCAGATCGACACCATC